TGTCGGATTCGCTCCTCTTTCCCTTCATCAGGCGTCTGAGAGATCCACAGAAGAGCAGTGAGAGGAGAGCAGAAAAACTCCGGAGTCCCAGATCTGCTCGCATCATGTCCGACAAACGAGAGAGCATTTTTTTAACTGCACTAGCAGTTCTTTGCCAAGCGGGGTCATTCTTTTAATGGAACGTTTCAGGCAAATGGAACACAGTAAATTAATCTCTCGGGGAGCGCTGGGCTAATTTTCTTATTATCTTAGGTGCTAAAAAATGTGACAAAACAGGCCCTGCATCGGTCTCCAAAACCTGATTTTTCTCCACACCCTCCCTCTCTGCAGCCTAGCACAAACGCAGAAGAGAGGTTCACAAACGCATGAATGAATAAACACTCAGTGCCATTAACCTTCATTAAAAGAGAATTCAGTCTAGCGTTTGCGCTTCTTAAAACAAAAAAAGCGGCCTTCAGTCACATTTCTGAAATTTAATTAGCGAGCAGAAATCAATTGTAAAAATGGCCACTGCCAACAGCGCAGGGCTCTCGTATTTACAAACACCTCACATACAATATTTCTTCCTTCGCTTGAGCACTCAATAATTCTGGATGCCAAGATGCGTTCAATTGTTTGGAGCTTAATTACTTTCACGCCTTTGGCGAAGGACAGATATAGCTCCCTGTGCCTCGGCTTGCAACGCCTCTGACCTTTCGGATGCGCTCTGTTCACGCTGTGTCCAGCGAACTGCACAGATGAGCCCCTCTGCCAGGCGCTGGCCTGCCTGGGGCCGGCGTGGGTGTGATGGGTAACGTGGCTGTGCTGCAGAGCTGGCAGGAGCCAGCTGAGAGACATGTGTGCAAACACACTCCCCCAGCATGCCCTACAGAAAGGGGGAGCACGGAGCACAGTGGCTAGGGCCACCACCCTCACACGTGACGACCGACCTACAACAGCAAGCTCCCTTTTCAGCTCATTCATTCATCCGTCCCACAGAACAAGTCTACACCTTTCCCCAGGTGATAAGGCTGCAGGAAGCTGAGGAAGGGAAGAGGGCTGGGTGAGGCCTGCACTGGTTTCTCCCAGGTCGCAGGTCGGAGGTCGGAGGTCAGAGGTCGCCGTCAGCACAGGACCTGACTCGAGCAACAGCAAGAGCCAGCGTCCCTGCACTGAGGACCTGGGACCACACAGGCATCAGTATTACATCGTCGTGTTCCAGCACTCACACAGGCCCCTGACGGTGACAGCCTGGCTGTCTTTAACCAAGACGCTACGTTTATCAGGTTTTATTTTCGTTCTAGGCGTTACATTTGCTCCGTCAGCACGCCCACACTTTGAGCTGCCCAGACTGTATCTGTGGCTTGAGGTCTCCCCCTCCGAGCTCGTTTCCGCTGTAGCTGTTAAAATTCAAAGTGACGGGAAAAAATAAAATAAGATCAGACCCACACATCTCGCCTTGAGCTTCGCAGCAATAGTCCGGAATGACGTCCAGCCCAGGGCTGCACCCTGTGTATATCCCAGGCAGCCCCTGACGTGTTTAGCTGATCATTAATATCCTCAACCTAGATCATTCGGCATCCGGCCGTCCGGGGGGAACAACTTGCTGTTCCCCTGTCCCCCCCCAGTCCTGGGAAGCCACACTCAGGCAGGTTTCCCAGCCAACAACAAGGTGAAGGGGGCCTGTAGGTGCCCAGGGGGGATAGACGACCCAGGAGGTGCCAAGCCTGCCCACGCCTGCTGTGGTGGGCAGCTCTGGGGCTGCCCGAGGACAGGTTACCCTCGCAGTCCCCGGACAGGACCGGAGCATCCTCCCCCCTCAGAGAGCTGGGGAGGGGGGGTCCGCACCTCCCGGAGAATACATCAATGTGCTTATTCATGCTCGCATTAACGAAATCCTCTGCAGCACTGAAACCTGGCGCCCTGGGAATAACTCATCGTCTGTTTACGGCCAATGCACGAAAATGAACAAGCACCATTTTATTTTTGAATCCAGGGAAATATCAGATCACCGTTTTGCGAATCACAGCAATTACAGTCCTTAACCCATTGATTAGCAGCATGACAGACATGAGTGGGCGCTAAAAGCCGGGAGAGGCTCACTCGAGGGCCATCAAACACTGAGCCCCCTCCTCGGAGTCCTGCTGTATTTCCACTGTCCACACTGGCAGGAGTGTGGGGGGGCTCTCTTGTGACCAGTGCGCAGGGGGGGAATCGGCCCGCAATGATTTTTTCCTCTGCGGATTTTTAAAAAAAAATAATTAAATTGGGCTTCTGGGAAATCCGCCATTAAGAAAATGGAAAAGGCACCCCATTTATTTCCCACTCCGGAGGGAGTTCTACGGCCTGCAGGGTTTTTCGGATCTAGGGTACCGGCAGCATTCGACGGGAATAAAGTGGATGTTGCTCACAGCTAATTCACGCCCTGCGCTGAAAGTTTTGCAGTGTAAACCCCCACCCCCACTGGAGAATGCGTCAGATAGCAACGTGCACCCTGCGGGACGAGTTACTCAGCACTCCTGATCGCACGAGAGACTGGCTGGCTGGCTCCCTGGGCAGAGGACCCTGCTTGGGGAAGGGCGAAGACAGGTCCCTGCCCAGGACTCCGAGAGGCTGGACCAGGGCGGGACATTCTGGACTGTCACAGTCCACCAACATATTTCTAAGCTCTTTGGGCCTTGCATTTTTTTGAAACAGCACCGTTACCACTTTGGAGCCTGGTGTTATCTGACCTCCGATGTGAAGCAAAGCAGGGCCTGGAGAGTGGGTGACCTCTATGGATGGCCGATGACCCTACACCCCCCAAAACAGCGATTGGAAAAGGTGGGGGATGACAACAGCCAAGTTCGGTCACACTCAGTAATTAGCAATCACCCCGACGACATTTCCACTGTAAATACTGGACGGGAACCCCTTCTCTCCCTCGCACACCTCTTTGTGCACCCCACCTCCCCCTCTGCAGCTGCCCCTGGGTCACCCCTCACTCTGCAGGGGGCTCCCAGCCCCCTCGTCCTCTGGCCAGGAGGTCGGCCCTCAGCCAAGTGTTATGTCATGTGCCAAACCGCTCTATACCATACGGTGTCGCGTGAACCTGGAGCCTACCTGGCAAGCAACAGGCGAAAGGCAGGGTACGCCCTGGACAGGACGCCAGTCCATCGCAGGGCAAGAGCAAGCCAATCATACATGGGGACAATTTAGAGCCACAGTAAAGGCCAAGAGGGGAAATTTGGCCAAGACAAGGGGATAACTCCCTACTCTTCTTCTTGAGAAATGCCTTTAATGACCACGAAGAGTCAGGACCTCGGTTTAACGTCTCATCCGAAAAGACCGAGCCAGGTGTGTTCACCCAAGTTTTCTCTCCCCAATCCTTTCAGGATGCTTGATTCTTGGGTGTCATTTTTCCTAGCGAAACCACGCATGTCCCAGTTTTTCCGGCATCCAGCGAGACACAAACGGGCCGCGAACAAGGACACGGACACGCCCCTGAGTCTCCTCTCACCGGGCGCCGCTACAGCCGATCTGCGGAGCCTCGCCCGGACTCCAGAGATCCACTTCACAGATGCCTTCTTTCACTCCAAAGCTCTCATTTGAGCCCGGCTTTAGTGATGCCGCGAAAGTGCATAGAGAACTGCCTCTTAAGATTTTAGTGCTGCTTCAGGGAAATCTCCGCACGTTACAGAAACACTTCTCGCCTGTGAAAGCCTGCCTGTTTTAAACCCCCGACACGATTGCTACAAAGCGCTCTTTGCTCCGTCTCCTCCGCTATGAAGACGGGAGAAAGCTCAACGTCTTGACGTTGGTAATGAAGTATTAACTTCCCTATCTGATTGGAACTCCGAGGAGAAGCTGTTGCGTTAGATAACGAGCGCAGGTCTTTGCGCCCTTCCGCCGAGATCATTCAATACATGACGTCCATGATTATTTTATTTTTTTTGCGACATGTGCGTGTGAACTCCGACACAAACGACCCGCTTCGAATATAAATGGAGCCGAACTCTGCGCCGGGCGGCCGGAGCCTGGTCCCGGGTGAACCGGTGCAGGTGACCGCCGCCGCCAGTTTGCACTGAACGGTGGGTGCCGGAAAGGAGCTAAGCTCTCCTGAGCTGTGGCTGTCCCTATTCAGCCATTCCGAGCACCAGAGCAGGTGGACGAAGTGGTCAACGAGCTCATCGTCAGTGGGTTGCGGACCGACACCCACATACAGGAATTCGGACGGGAGCTTCCTCTCTCGCGCCCCGCCGCACCCGCACGGGGATCTGCCCGGGCGCTCGTGCCGTTCGCAGGTCAGCTTGGCGACAACCCCCTCGCGCTTCCTGCACGGCCAAGGGCAGGGTGCGTGCGCGCGCCTCCCCCCCCGCCCCACCGTGCAGGGGAGATTTCAAGACTTGTGCAAAAGCTCATTGAAGAGACACCAAAGGGGCGCTTCGAAGAAGTGCACCCGTGCGTGCGGCTGGGAGGCTGTGTGTGGGCGTGTGTTTTCTTTTGCGCATGAAGGGTGAGCTGTGTATTCGGCTCCATCCGCTCGTGGGGAAACGAAAGTGTGCCGACAAATGCCCGCTGGCACGATTCGTGTACATGTAGACAAGCACCGTAACTGCTCTCCACGCTCGCGTGAAAAAAAAACCCAAAACAGCAGCAAACTGAAACACAACATTGAACGGTTTCATCACATAACTGGAAGTAGCAGGACAGAAATGAAGTCCGCGTACTGTCACTCCACCTCTGCCGTCTCCGCTCCACGCGGAGAGCCGGGCTCACCCCTTCGCCAGTCCCCACAGCCCCCCACTGCGGTCATGGACCCCCCGACCCGCTCGCGCCCCGCGGGGCGCTGCATTCCAGCAGTCCCGCTCCGCGCGGAGCGAGGTGTCAGCCTGCGTGCACGTCTGTCCGCTCGTGGGCAAGAGCGACCCGTGCTACCTGTGACCACGGGCGCGCACGCACACACAAAAACAGACACAAAACAACAACAACAAACAAAACTCCTCCTTTCTTAAAAAAAAAAAGCCGCAAGCGCTTCTTACCCTTGGCCGTGGATTCCTTAGCCATCCCGTCTGGCGGCGGAGACCAGATGGAAGAGCCGGCGTCTCCGGGGCTGTTCTGCAAGCGAGTGTGCGCGCACCTCCCTCCCCCCGGCTCCGGCACCGCGCCGCGCGGTGGCCCCCCGCGCCTGGGCTCCGGGTCACAGCGCCGCCTGGCCTCGTGCTCACCGGCGGCAGGGGCAGCGCGCTCTGTGCACGGCTGCGGCTCCGGCTCCTTCTCGCTCCCTCCGCCCCCCCCCCCTTGACAGCGGGGAAGCGTCGCTCCTGCACGGCCGGGCTCGGAGGGCCTCTAGCGGCGGCTCCGCGAGCTGCGTCCCCCCGAACCTCTGTCTTTCAATCCCGTGACGGCTGTTTCACATCAGCCAACGCGTTCGTCTGTCATACACTTCCGCGGCGACATCTGTCAGCGAGCCGATTAAAATTGTATGAGCAGTAAATTCATTGGGATTGATCCCCGGGGCTCTCGACAGCCAGCAGCGAGCCCGCTTTCACGCCTTTAGCCTATGAAAAAAAAACAACAACACCAACACCACCACCACCTCAATTTCCCAGAACTGCCTTTTCCTGAATAGTTTGCAGAACTGCGCAGTGACAAGACAGCGACAGGATGCTTCGGTCTGGGTTTCGTGCGCGCCGGAGATCTTATTTCTTAATTGCAACGGGACGCCTGTCGCTCGGGCTGCCTCGCGCACCTGAGCCGGGCTTGGACATCTGGTCGCTACTGGACCGACCGGAACAATCCCGACCCAGCGCGATTCCGAAACCCGAGATTAAAAACTCTTAACATCTACCTCCAATAAACACTTGAACCCGTTACACACATGATTTCTAATACAACGCATTTCGGTTCTGGTTTCTTAATTTCTCCTCATTTCTACTTAGAAGAAAGTTCACGTTTTGTGCAAAGTCTCTTATTTTGTTTGTGTTTCATTTTAAAACACGCGAAACACGGATACGCAGGAATAAGACGCCTTTTCTCCCTTCTTAACTAAAATTCAGCGACGTTCTTTTTAAAAACGAAGTGCATTTACGCAGGAAAGAGGCATCAGAAGACAGAAAACGCAACTGTCCGGTCCTGATCTCCCGACTTGAGCAGCCGAATCGCGTTTCGGTTTCGCTGACATTCCTAGAGGTGCCCCGACTCTCTCTCTCTCTTTCCGCGCGGCTGTGCTTTATTAGCTAATTACAGTAGGTGGATTTCTGTGTTAGCAACCGGAGAAAGCGCCTGACACTTCCCCCAACACCAAGGCTGCCGCAAACGGACAGTTTATTTCCGAGAGGAGCGGAGCGGAGGCGGTGTAGCTCAGCGCTCAAGAAGAGAGCCGCGACTGGGCTCACTTCCTTAAACTTCCCCTCGTGCCTCCGCTCCTAGAATCACTTCGACCTTCTGCGGCCGACGAATACGCTGTAGTCGAAAGAAGAATTTAAAAACCCAACGACGTACAGCAAGAACCCCCGGGAGAGCTCGTTCAGCTCCGAATGAGTGAGCTAGGCGTGGCACGGAGCCCCAATCGCCGGCGCTTCACTGCCCTGAGAACAGGAGGTGCTTCTGTACACAAAGGGTTGTGGGAGACTGAAACAAGCAGCCCAGGCACGCTGTCGAAGCCGATTACCTGGCTGCTTTCAAGAAAACGGGCGGGATGAGATAGCTACTACCAAACAAACACTCTAGATGAGCAATTTCTCGTTTGTCACCTTTCTTCGGTTTCTCTTTCCGGCGTTGGCTAATGGCTGATTCTCGCTGGTGAGACGGCGAGACACGGGAAGGCCAGCCCCAGCTCCAAACTGAGCCCCGAGAAGGGATGAGTTTGTGCTACATGTTAATTATATGTTAATCATGCTGACCCTTCATCAGCTGCGCTGCTTCACAATCAGCCTTTTAATGCGGCTTCATTCATCACTGCCCGGCAAACAACGCGCTGGATGCAAGCGGCTTTCATTAGGAGTTGCACTAAAACCCCTATAAATCACAGGGCAGAAAGCAGCCCCAGAAGGAAACATCCAGCCCTGTCTACGTTAGAGCGAAATAAAGAAAGTCCAGGCCTTGCATAACAAGGATTTTGAAATCAATGAATGGAGGCTGGCTGGGTAAATTAAAAGAGGATAGAAACAGCAGAGAAATTAAAAACAGGTTTCTGTCTGTATGGTCAGTGAATGAGGACGGCATTAACTCTGCTAAGACTCCAATTAGGTGCTGTAGCCATAAGGCAGGGCTGGGATTGTTAATGGGCTTCGGCAGCCTTCTCGGCTTCCGTTAATGAGAGGAGGCACAGGAGCACAGAAGGCCACCAGGGGGCACTGCTGTGCGCCAGGGTGAGGATGCCCAGCCTGAGTGGTGTCCGCCCGTGCCCAGCAGGGGTCTGGCCAGTGGTGACCCTCTGCTTCAGGAACTCCAGTCGGTTGCGTATTGATACATTGCTACACTGTGGATCTGACAACGAGCTGCTGGTGAACGTCAATGCCGTTATCGGCATTATTTCCTGCATTGTTTGGCATTGTTGTATGCCTTTATCTTGAACTTACTTCCTGGGACCAGTCTGAGCTGATTCGATGACCGGCTGCCCCTCCTGGGTCTGGGCGTCCGTGTTTGAGAGATGCGTGACGTTGGGAGAGCGGGACGCCGGGCGTGCCGGTAGCGGACGCAGAAGACCTCCCCAGCCCCAGGGCTCCAGCCCCCCCACGCCCTTGCGTCGTCCGAAGACGATGTCGTTTTCATTACCGCGGTCGCTGTATCTCATCGCCCATCAGCCGGGCTCCCCTCTGGGAGCTGGTGCAGCTCCTCCGCCGTGCTCAGATGTTTAATTCGGTTAGCCAACACCGCGGCAGGTTACACATGAGAAAAAACAACGCTGGACCTGTAAACCGTGAGGGTCGACTGAGTAAGACTGAGGGCTTTTTTTTTTTAATAGGCTAAGGTGTCTCCGGGAGCCCTGCTGCTTCAGGGTCCTCTGACACCCCCTCCAGCATGTCAGGGAGGGCTTGATTCTGGGCCAGAGGAAAGCTCTGCCTCGCCATGGTAGCCGAGCGGACGGCACACGATCTCAGATCAGCAGAGCTCAGCAGGGCTGGATTTCGGGGCCCGTAGGCCCTCGGCACTTTCACTCCGAAATGTGCAAGAAGAGGGGTGAACGTCGACTGACATGATGCACTTGAGACTGTTCTAGTGCTGAACCACCTAACTGATGGCGCGAGTCGAGATAACCATCGCTTTTGATACTCCTAGTTTCTCGAGCAGCTGCTAGATTATTATCGAGCAGCGCGTGATTATTGATCTGGAGCACCGAGAGTCGATCGCAAGCACGTTGTTTCAGCTCGTTTTTTCGGAAGTGCTTCCCTCCTTCGAAGGCCCTAGGCGCTGTGCCTACAGAGCCTCATGGGAAATCCGGCCCTGGAGCTCAGGTGTGCTCTCACCGCTGTACGATGGTTACTGCCGAAGTCCGAGCGCAAGGGTGGGCGCCCTGGTACAAGAGAACCCCCGGGTCTGTTTCTCCTGCTACACCTGCTCTCAGTTACGGAGCCTCATTAAACACAAACAGCTGGGCGTTCGGCAGGAGGTTGTCTAAGGTGACCTAGAAAACCTGAAGAACAGCTTCCTCCCAGGCCAGGGTTTGCCTGCGACCATATTAGACACCTACCAGTGTAACACCTGCCGCGAGTTTGTACCGTCAGGCGTGTTTGATCTGTTCTGAATCATCACCTCTACTGGGAGCTAGACCGAGCAGAGAAGGGAACAAAAACACCTGAAATCAGGGGGAGAGGCAGAATCTAACAACAGCTGAAGACCTCAGTGTCATTGGCGTGACTTGTTTCTGTAACAGCAGGGAGTAAGAACGCAATGCTTGGGTCGTAGAGAGGAGAACCAGGCTGATTTGTAGAGGATTGACTACGGGCGGACGAGTGGCTCTGTGGCTCAGGATCTGCGTCGGCTGGGGGGTTGCCTGTTCGAACCCTGTGGCTGGCAGAGGAATCCTACTCCGTTGGGCCCCTGAGCAACGCCCTTCACCCCAGCTGCTCCAGGGGCGCTGTACAATGGCTGACCCTGTGCTCTGACCCCAAGCTCCTCTCCCTGTCTGTGTGTCTCATGGAGAGCAAGCTGGGGTCTGTGAAAAGGCAAATTCCTAATATAAGAAATTGAATATGGCCAATAAAGTGATCTTATCTTATCTTACCTGCTGAGCAAGCCAGTCAGCCAGCAGGGCTGGTGTAGGGGCGTACTGTCCAGGGTGAGAGCTCTTCCACTTTCTTTTCAGCTCGGTTGCCCTGGTGAATAGAGCTGAACTGGCGAATAGGCCGCTGGCTGCCACTTAACGTGGCCTTAACACACAGGGTGGAAACACAGGTCTGCAGGAGAGACACACACCTCTGCTACAACTCACGGGGAAAAAAAACATGCACCGCGTTAGAAATGAATTAGGAGCAGGGCATCTCGTCTCGATGTAAGGGCATTCTAAATAAGAAAAAAAAAATCAATTAAAAAAAGCAACTTCAGAAAAACCAAGCCGTATTTGAAATTTGCAACACCCAGAGACTGGTATCGCAGCGAATGAACTGCCCCACCTGTGACAAAATCTCTGTGATTGGGGGGGGTTATCATACCGGATCTCTCAAGGCAATAAAATAAAAAACGACCCGAGAACAAAGACGAGCGAATATCCTGGGGCAGAGACTGGATGGGAGCCACAAGGCAATTTCCATATTAGCCGTTAATTTCATTATTAATTAAACTAAAGGCAACGAGAGATGCACCCCCCCCCTCTCTTCGCATTACAGAACACTCCAATCCCAATGCCGGCTGTCTGTAGCAGTCAGGAGCTCAGTGACAGATCTCCTGTGGGCCAAGAAACTGACATGAAAATCCTGAAAAACAGCTTGCAGAAGCCAAGGAGACAGATAGCTCTGATCAGTCAGCAGCCAGAGCTAATGAGTTCAAGCATGGCACCAAAAAAAATGGTAATTTATTTAAACCGTTTTTTAAAAATAATTTTACTTAAGGATCACTGAATTTCGAATTGTGGTTAGACAAGCATTTATTATTTATTGGGCAGAGTGCAAGACCATGGCAGAATCAAGAGTGTTCAAAGACTTTGTTATGGGAAGTCTGATTAGTGATAAGAAAAATGCCAGGTGGGATAAATGTTCATTTATTTTAAAATATAGAAATGTATGGTTTATGTGAGGTAATCTGTAAGAAATATATAACTTTAATTGGTGGTCAAACAGATAACGCACAAACTCCAAAGTCCTAAATCAACAGGGTTTGAGCTACGTACATCGGGCACCTATGCAGTAACAGGAGAGAGACGTACCCTGCAGAGTTTGGGTCGCTCTCTGAATCACAATCCCTGACAAACAAACCCCCCTCACAAAACCACATCTCCCTGTTGACTTGGATTCTAAAATCACACGCCCTGTCACTTCCTGCATGAATGAGCTAACGAGAGCCCAAAGTTTAGACAGATACGAAAAAAGTAACCAACTCTTGCATTGTCCCAGATAAGATCCGACAGGATGCTTTCAATCACAGCAGTTTTTCTTTGTCTCTCTCTCATATTTTCTCTCGTCGTTCCCCCTGGGATGATTGTTTTAGGCGCTAAGGACCGCCGCCTGCCGCAGGAGGAAATCAGGAAAATCCAAGAAACTGAGCCCGAGAAGAGCCGAGGAGGACTGAGTCAGGACATGTGCGCATCATCTCCTCTTTCTCATGAGGGTCTATGAGGGGACTGCCCCTCTTAAAACGCCTGAAAGAAAAAGGCACCGACAAGCTGTGTTTAAAATGCTTTGCAAGTCCCTCCAAAGTACGTTTGATTGTCTGTGCAGAAGCAGGCTTCACAAGGTGCGAATGCACATCTGCACAGGGCTGCTTACAGGTTAACACCACAGCAATCAAGCCGTCAGAATTGCCACAGCACATTTGTCAATTTGCAATTCATAAAATAAAAATTTGATGGGAGTATTTTCTCGTCTGCCTGAATGATTGACGACAGCCCGAGCATCCTCCTTTCTTGTTATAGAACATTTCTGCATGCCATTATACTGTATGCATATTGTATTCAAAATGCCTGCGCTGCCTGGACTGTACAGTTCTTCCTTCTGCCAAGCGGCGAGCTTCACACGTCCCTACTGGGCTCTAGACTTGATCGGAGGAGCAACGACAACGAGAGCAAGAGTGAGACCCGTCTCTGGGGGCATCGGAGGGTGGCAACAAGATGGCAGCCTGGCTGCGTCAAACCCATCCTACTCCAGAGACACACCGTGCATCACAGGCCACCATCCAGGGAATCTCATCGCACTCTCCAGCAATGCCTGGTCTGAAGCATTTCATCCGAGTCGCAATCAAGGGCTGTAACCATCAGAGCCACTCATGAGAAACCACGAAACGATATTATAGCTGGCTACCGCATATCTAACCCCAAGACCAAGTCTGTGCTTCGCCCCAACAACCCAGTGTGATCTCCGAGGTTATCTTAAGTACAGCAGGGTAGCCACAGAATTAGAAATCAACAACATGTGTTTGTAAAAAGATGGGGAAGGCAGGTGGAGATGTTCTCTCAGTAATGCGATAGCAACAAAGATGCAGTAGACAATTGGAAGTTGTATAAAACCGATTTAACACTCATTTTGTGTTTCTCTTTTCGCACCTCCAAATACTAAAGGTGTTTTGTGTTTCTGTTTCTTTTTTGTGAATGTAAAAAAGTAGTACTGTCAGCATTAACATAACTGCAATGAAGTATGAGAAAAGTACAGCAGCAGCTATGAAGAGGCTGCAGTTCTGGTATTCATGCAAAATAGTGTCATCCAGACGAAGGTCAGGTTGAGTTTCGAATGTCAAATAAAACAATTTCTATTGAGGTTATTCTTATTGAGGTTATCTATTGCAGGATTTAGACATTCACAATCTCTTTTCCACCACAGGCGATTTCAAGCACTGATACAAGAGAGTTTGCTGACCATAAATCCACTACAAAAGCAGACCAATGGCTGTAATATTGTGCTGCTATCAGCTCATCTCAGTAGTTTAATGCTTTTTGTCTGAAAAGGCAGGGAAAGGTTTGGGTATGAAAAGTGTCAGTATCATAAATGAGTCAAGGAAGATGTACATTAATCATATATCGGCTTCAAAAAAATTCATTGCCCTGTAACACGCATCTTCTTCTTGGATTCCTTCAAAAAATAAGCCTAAGTTTAAAAAAAAATTGCTTTTGTAATGAATGTAATTGTAGTACGCCACCTTTCAAGGATTACCATTTTCTAAAAAAAATCGTGTCTGAGAGAGGCTTATGTGGCGCTTCAGGGTAAATGATAAATTGCTCCTCTGCTGCTGAAATTATTCCTTTTTCATCTCAGCCGAGACAATAAAGAAAATATTGGAAAACAAAAGCATATCATACGGAGGAAAATAAATCCAACCCAACAGATACAGCTTCTGCTAGAAGAGGAAGGGGGAAATCAGATTATTTTCTTGTAGTCTTTCTGCAGTACACGTTTGCCTGGAAATGGACTGGAGGAAAAACTGTATGTAAGTGGGAGATATTGTGCACACCACAGCAAAGAAGAGGCAGTCTGATCTGTCTCTGTGCCCCCTGCTCCAGGCTTGGAGTTGTGTGTGTGTTTGTTTTTGCATTTGTGTTCTTGAGTATGCGTGTTAGAGAGTCGAAACTCCCCCCTGCCTTCTGTTTGTGCTAATTCATCCAGTCACCTCTGTCCCCATCACAGCCTGGAACATCTGGAGCTGTCTGATTTCAGGTTCAAACACACTGGATTCCCCAGAGCCTATGTGTGCTTTTACAGCCTTCTCCAAGGGATGGAGTAATGACGAATATATAGCAATACCCTGAGCCCCGAGACCTGGACACCCTAATTTGAATCACATTTTATTCACAATTTTAAAGCAGGCTTACCCATATCTGAAAACTCCAAAACAGTCCTGTTCAGACTGAGTACAATAAAGGGTTTATCCTGTATTACTTTACTGAAAGCAAATGGTGTCCTTGGACATGACATAGAATATATATCCCCTATATATTTCATTCATGAGATATCATACACTGTATGATTCATATATTGAATTATACATTGGACGTCTGGACTGCTTGGTACTATTCCCTGCTTGACTAATAAAGGGAAAGAAGCTATACAGTAATCCTGTGTAAAAGATCTGTGTTTGTTTGGTGTTCTTTCATCTTGTACAACCACTAAAGTAACTTTAATTTCTCCCGAAACCTCCCTGTCATTCCATCTGGCCTGTTTGCCAGGGATAGCTGACTGCTCTCATGGTAAGATTTTCTATTAATGTGCCTGCATATCTCTGAATTCACACTCAAGCCAACCCCAATCCTCTCGCTGAATTCATTTTAAATCCTGCAAAAATTCAGGTGCAGTCATTTTATGAGGGATTGATGCAAAACATACTTTGCTAATTTCTCCTTCCTATAAATATTAATATGAAGAAAAAAAATGTATTCCTCCCCAAACCAAGATTACTTGCCGGCAACACTACTGTGCGAATCATCTTTTTATTTCCCTCGACACATTCCCTCCGATACATCACTCAATCCAATATATCAGATTATTTTTGGAAACAGGATTCCCTTGATCTGCATCTGCTCCCAGCATCTAACTTAACAGGTCTGTGGCTTTTGAAAACCGGTGTAATCATCTGAAGTGCTATATAACAATAGTTTATAAAAGATTTGACATTAACAAAGATGAAGAATAGGATTTAATTAACAAGGGCCATGTTTTCTAACAGCAGGATGAGACTTCCTTGAATGACCTCTTTTCTGGCTCTGTATATTACATGCTCTGCTCCGAGATGCGGGAAACAATTAAAGACGGTAACTGCCTTTTTGGAAGCAAATCCTTGTATCTTATCAAATGTAACGTCAAATGAGATGGATTCTGCAGTGCTGCTACCAGATGCTCTTTCGGAAAACGAGTAAAACTCTGGGATGGATGAGCTTGGACAGGAATGTGTAATCATGTTGGCTGGGTGTTTTACTGGTCATTGTTCTGGACGTGATGTTCTGTCAAAACGAGCATCACTGCTGGCTGGCTGGCGATTCTGTGGGCTGCAGGAACTCGGAAGTGAAGACGGCCTCCGCATACTCCTCACACACATCCTGGAACTCCGCGGCTACTTCATCCAGGGCCTCCGACATCAGCTCCTCGGCTAGGCTGATCGGGGCACAGACAGGACACGGAGTTAAGCTCAGGGTTTCGGAAAGGAAATTCTTATTACTAATAGGATAACAATTTTCATTTCTATATCTCTTTAAAGCCCAAAGGGGGCCTAAAGCTCTTAACATAAAAACACGGATGACTCAGAATTTCCTCATCTAAACTGTGACAAGACTGAAGTCATGCTTGTTGGCACCCCCCCAATCAACTTTGAAAAGTCAAGGCTGTAACCCTATCTGTGGATGGTTCTGTACTTGAGCTTCAGTCTAAATTGGAAAAACTTGGGGGTGATATTTGAATTAGGCTTGACATTCGACCCACATGTGCAGCACATTGTCAAAACATCTTTTTTTCACCTCAAAATATCGCTAGACTACGTCCGATGCTATCACTAACTGTGAGTGAAAAGCTGACCAACACAATTGTCTTCTCCCGAAATTGACTACTGTAACACTCTACTCGCTGGGGTATCTAAATCTACACTGAACAAACTCCAGGATGTCCAAAATTCGGCAGCCAGAATCCTGACCAGGTCTAGTAAAAGTGATCACATTACTCCTATCCTGGAGTCCTTGCACTGGCTTCCTGTCAAGTTTCGTGTCGACTTCAAAATCATGCTCACGTATAAGGCTCTGCATGGCTGGGCACCTCAATACCCGTCTCAGCTATTATCGCCCTACTCCCAGCCTCGCAACCTTCGCTCTTCTAATTCTAGTCAACTGTCTGTCTCCCAAGCCCCTCTACATATTTTTTTATTGTTGTTGTTGTCATTCTGTAAAGCGCTTTGAGAAGCCATCTTTAAAGGTGCTATATAAAATAAAGTTCATTATTATTAACATTTGGAGGAAGGGAGACACTTCACCCACCACTGATTTGCTGTAGTACGTGAGTGATGCTGTTCTGTGACAGCAGCTCCACTGGACAGAGCAGGTGTAGTGTGAGGAGTTGTGCAGTCTGAGAGTGTACTATGGCCAGGAAAGCAGGTTTAACACTTCTACACTTATGAACAGTGCCATAGGATTTTTAACGATAGAGAAGGCAGGATTTTGGTTTAACAGTCAACGGCACTTCCTACAGCACAAAGTACCACCTACTGGCCCAACAAGATCCCTTATAGCAGCATCCTGGAAGCAACCTTTGAGGTCTCTCTAAGGGACTGTTCAGACCTTGCTGAGCGCCTGAGGTCTGACAAGTTCAAGCCATGATGAAATGAGTTACATGATAAAGGATCCAGCACAATCAGAGCCCTGTTCTCTGCTATAAACTAAAGGTATAACATCGCAGACATCTTCAGGTTTTCGGTGAGCGGGTGAAAAGATCAGTCAACTGCTTGCTGAATTTCTGCTGCAGATTACAGATGGGTTGCAGTGTACACTGCAACACCCAACCATTCAGTTGAATGTCGAAGAGTGTGAATTAAACATTAGTTTTTCTATCCGGGGAGCTGGTCTTGTTATTGAGAAATGAGTAAGGGGAAGCACGAGGTCTTCTGTGACTTTTAATGGCTTCACACTGATAATCAGCAGCTTATCCACATTATCACAGACAGACTGGCCTCTTCGGAAAAAATCTGTTATTTTCATTTTCCCACTATCAGAACAAGCAGGACCACAATTTGCAGACTTAGCCCGGCTTCCCAAGCTACCAAAAAGGTCTCAGACCTCGCAGGGACCAACCAGTGTTCGCCAGAGATGCCCCTTTCTTTCAGTCTCTCCTCTTGCAGGCGTTAGAGTGGGGTCTCAGGGGTCACCTTGCAAGTGATTTCTACAGCGACTGGCACAATCTTTGAGGTACTCAAAGCAAAAGTTGCTCATCTCAGCCAAGGAGCTCAGAGATTCTTCCTTACAGCGAATAATGAAAAAATTATAGGATCACACCTTATGTTGCTGTATACACTCCATTTTGAAGAACTCTCTTATCTCATGGAGCCTGCAGGGGACTCGTAAAGGTTTAAATAATTTTGTGAGCTGCGCGAGCTTAAAACTTCTTTTAAAATGCAAATGATTCATATACGAGAAAGGGATTGAAAACCGTACATGTATACTACAAACGCAAATTGACAGTGACACTGAACTGAACTATACGAATATTACAATTCATCTCAAAATACATTGATTTGATGTGTTAGTGACATTTTCTATTGCCCGGGGCACAATTACAGTAACAATACAACACCATATTTGCAATGGCATTCAATGGTCAATCACTAATAGAATCGAGTCTTTACCAACGTCTGGGTACCCAGAGGAAGAAGACAGCCGTGTGGTTCAGTGCTTCGCATGGCTGGCACTCACCTGTCGGCGATGGCCCAGGGGTTGAAGTTCCCCAGGGCCTCATGGGAGATGAGACGAAGGTACGCCTCATAGCGCTCGCGGTACCGCTGGATGTGGTTCTGCATTCCGACTGGGAGAGAGAGGAGAGTGCCGCACTTCTCTGTGGCCTGTGTAGGAGGACTTTGGGGACGTGTCAAGGAGGAGAGGCCATCCATAGAGATCTCGGACACAGACCTATGGAGATAGTGCAAGGTAAACAGGTCAAGGCCAGATTGGTGCAAAAGCAATATTTCTTTAATAACCACCTTCTTTAATAATTTACCCTCTTCTATTTCCCTTAATTGGGATGCAGACTTTACACTGACACTCCTTACATATCCGTGTCCTACAAATGGCAAATAAAAGAAATGAAATACATGGAGTTATACTACTGGTTACAAGCAATTTATGCCGCGGAGTGAATTCAGAAGGGGCCAGGGAGCTGCAAAGCAGTTTTAGAGATTCCTGTCAGGCTGTCACCTCTGCGCAGGCTGGCGATGACGGAGAGTCCCCAAGACTGAAACAGAGACGGAGCAGGAGGGGCAGACCTCACCAACTGCTAAGTGTGAGTTGCACTGAGTTGCGTCCCATTGCTTGGCAGGTCCTACCCGTTCTGCCTGTGCAGGTGACAGAGCCTCACACTGGGGACAGCCGGGCCCCGCCAGGGGATGCTACAGTCAGGGTCGCTGTCCTTCCATGAGTGAATCGATGGCGCAGCAACTCCCTCAGCTGCTATATTTAGAGAAGCGTCAGCGGCACACAGCCCTAGCATTAAATTAAAGCATGCCTCTCTTTCTCCGATGCCATCAGGACCCTGCTCAGCATGCAGCAGCAGTTTACAGCACACAGCCATGGTAATGGCAGGCTCGGCTAATTTGAGAAAATGGTCCTCTTAAGGAAGGGACAATTGCTTCTCTCCGCGGGTGAATTCTATCAATCCAACAGCAATTAAACTAGCAGGACCTTCTTTTTCTTTTCATTAATGGGGGACCGTCTGCAAAAAAAAAAAACTCATGGCAAAATCTAATGCACTGTGAGACAGCGTTAGAGGTGCTCCAGCACTCCACCATAAGTGAAGCCCAGATGCAGAAATGAACTTGCTGAGATTCAAGCAGTTTGGCATTTTCTCATCCGTGGCAGATCGTTTTGGTGACTTGGGTGTTTATGTTCCTCAGTTCTCATTTATAGCACTAGTTTACAGGCTGCAGAACAAGTACTGTCTTGCTCTCCTGACCTCCAGATGTGGAAACAGTCAAACGCCAAGCTGAAACCTAGCAGATGCATGTTTCAAGTAACCCAGATATTCACGAAACAATAACAGTGAAATGGAGCAGATTAAGTACAACAACATTTCAGTACACTTTTTTTTTTATAAAGATCTAACAATCCCTTCTGGCTAGTGGGAGCTCCTGCCTGTCCCTGGGCTGCAAGCTGCTCTTTCCAAGTAAATAATCAGATGCTTCTGCTCTTCAATAATTAATGCACAAACACTTCCTCTTATCGGCTCCTATTAACCCCACATCTTCACAGCAGCGGCTAACTGTCCAGCGGAATCCTGACACTTTTAGGAAACCTACGTTTAAGAGTCGTGTACATGTTTGTGTCAGGATATTCATACATGACTACAAAGTTAGACAGTGCCATAGACAGGCCGAATCTAAACCCACAAGACAGGAAAAGAAGCTGAAAGTCCATTGACAGGACCCGGTTGTCTTTGGCATTTCTTTCATGTTTCTTCTCTGTTCTCTGATGCAAAGAAAAAGGCCTTTTGGCTGTCTATATTAAGACTGCAAATCCTTATTTGGCTACGTGGTTTTTCATCTGCCTCTCTGGCACAAATGCAAAGCCCTGTACAAGCCTACGCAGTGATACATGCTGCCTGGCTGGGGATACAGGGGGCCAGCAAATTTGGCACAATCTGGAGCAGGCAACACAAAACCGCACCGACTGGTGGAGTGTGAAGGCTCACTTGACAAACTCTGGGAGACTCGACGGCGATGAATCATTGATCTGTCACACAGGAAGCTCAGTACTTATTGACGTGGGGGACTCTTAACTCCTGAAGGCCACGGTTTCAATTACCGGTCCTCAGTAACAGGCTGACTCTTATGTTTGTTCAGCAGGAACTACGTTCAGGTTTCAGAATACTCAAGGTGAAATAACATTCAAATCAAAACTGCGTGTGAAAGACAAAGGCCTGGGCAGCAGGACTTAATCTGTGTGGTTAAATAGGCCAATTAGGAAACAGAGACACTAGCTAGGGAACGCAAGCCAGACCACATCCCTGGAACTGAATCCAGGACGTCCTGGCCTTTTTAAGAGATCTTCGAGGTGATCCAAGAGTCAACAAGTCCCAGATGGGCTAGTGAAAAGTCCTGGCTGCAGTGTAGGACCTCATACAATTCATTAGTCAAAGACCCATCAAATGCACTATTGCTAGCGGTGGAGTGCGGACCAGCATAATCAATCCAGTCTACTGCAGTGCCGGCCGGATTTCCTGGTCCTGCTCCCGGACTGCCAATAATGCACAGCGAAGACAAGATATTCTGACACAAGCGTTGGAAGCAATGGAACAGATTATTACTCAGCACTGTTGGTCAGGAGCCAGTCTTCCCTGATAACATAATATCCACCTTCTGCTGATCGACAGATTCTGTGGGACAGAATGAAAAAGACTAAAGCAGAGAGGTATCAGAGGGAAAGAGAGAAGTTACCTCTAGAGTGAAAGATCAGGTCTGTTCGGCTCTGCCCCTCTGACTCATTGCTGCCTCTCATAAATATTCCATCACTTACAACTTCAGAAATGGTATGCTTCGTTAAAATGCCCAATCGGCTGATTGACAGCCCACAATAAATGAATCCAAGATTGCCTCGATTTTCTGCAACACAGAACAAACTCAGGCAAATTCGCCAATAGTATGCGAATGTGGAAAAAATATCTTTCACATTTTTTAAAGTGGGCTGCGCAGTGCTGCCAGTCTGGATGGTTCAGTTTGTTCCCAAGGCTCTTTCTCATATTGCAAGTACAGCAGAAGCTCAATTAATAGCCATCAGCCTATTGCCCCTGTTATTTCTCAAGAGCCCAGTTGATCAGGGTCAGACTGTGTTTGGTGATCCATCCCCACCTCTCGAACCCTGAAAGTAGATGCTTGTCCCCTGGAGAAGCTCTCTGGATAGACTCTGGCTCAGTTGAAAACCTGCTCTCACAACACTGTGTCCAAGTTTAACACACTAACATTCCTCCTCCTACATTCACAGTGCTGGTTATACTGTGGGTAATGAGAACAGGAACCAAGGCTAGGTTTTCCCTGGAGTGTGTCTACTTCTTTATCACCCTGACAATACTTTTCAAGGAAATAACCAGCTCAGCTGGCCCACAACACCGTACACAACTTTAAAAAGGACAGCAGCAGATTCGCCTTAAGACAAAACAACTGTCACTCCCCTGAAGACACAATCTTCTTAAATATTTCAAACAGTTGATGCACTCTGGCCTTCAGGCCAGGAGCTGGAACTTCACACACAGATTGCTCGAGTAAATGCAAATGCCCTGCTGGGGCTCTAGACTGACATTGCAAATGATTGAATCCTTTCAACAGATTTACCCTGTAAAATAAATAAAGAAATATGTCTTTCAAAGACACCATTTGCTTTACTTTGAACAAACAAGTAGATCCCTGGAAAGAAATCTCTCCATTGTATTTCTTATTCTGAAATATCAGGGCTTTAGCAAGGAAATTGTACTAATTGTACAGAAAACACTGCCTTGGGCTTTTTCTTCCTTATTGAAGGGCTATGTGAAGAAATGGATCCAAAGCATTACACATGGGAAAGTTTCAATTAAGCTGCATTTTAATGTTATTAAAATTCATGTAAACCAGATGAAAACAAAACAGAAGGTTTAATAGTTTCAATATCCAGCATCCCACTTGCTCACATGCAGCAATGACATTTCAGTCCCCTGTCCCTGGCATCTCAGTGCTAGTGATTCATTACTGATCTGTGAGCAGCCGAGAGATAAAAAGAAAGTGTATAACTGGGATTATTTCACTCCATCGCCCAGTGAAATATCCTCTTCATTCCGCACAGGGTTTCCCAAGGCGGACAGCAATCAAAACCATCACCCAGGCCAAGGCAGCAAAACATTAACAAGCAGACATGTTATTTCTTCGCTTTTCTGGGAAACAGCTTTTGCCTCCCTTCTCCTTGCTGTGATTGAAGAGCAGGCGCTGGGAGCGCCAGACTGCTGCTGCAGAGAGAAATGACACAAGGGCGCATCAGGTGCCTAGGGTGTGCCAGCACGGTGGGGCGTTGTATACTTATTTTGGAGTTGTGTTAATTAGCGGTGCCCGCAGTGCAGCTGAGCTCATTGAGAGTGCAAGGGAAGCAACAAGAGGAAGAACAAGGGGTGCGAGACCAAGCGCAAACAGGGAGGGGGGGAAGAGAGAGAGTAGAGGAGCAATCAAGAATGACTGAAGAGAAAATGTAAAGGAGAAGAGCGAGAGAGAAAAGGAAAAGAACAGAAATGAAAGAGGGAGAGACAGAGAGACAGAGGGCAGGATGGAAAGGAGGGAGGGAGAGAGACAGAGATAAGTGGTAGCAGAGGGAAAGATACACAGCAGAGAGAAAGCCCGGAGGAACAGTTCCAGAGACCAGCAGGCCCGTGTGGCGCGAGGCTGGCGGTATGCGCAGTGAGGCAGGGCATCCCTGGGCACAGCTCTGGGTGCTGTAAATACTGGTAATGACAGCTTGCACAGCACATAATGAGCTCTCCTTGCCTCTTAATCAGCAGCTGTGCTGAATTTCCATCTCTGAAATCATACTTCTAATCACCATTTTTAAGCAAAAGAACTGTAACCTTGTTAGTGCATTGCTTCTTCATTAAACTAAGTGCTCCCTCTAGTGGTCTCCTCTCACTCTCCCTTACTATCTCTCTTTTTATTAATTACCCACAGATGGTGAGCACAGCTGGATGAACATATCACAATGGAGACAGGTGTCAAAACACGTCACCTACTATGTCATTTTTCTGTTTTACTCATATTACTTCTATATACGAGCAGGTCTCCAAATGCTTATTATTCAATACATTTTAAAAATCAATTTATCTATTCCTTTCTGAATTACAGGTTCCTGTATGCTATCATCTAGAGAAATCAGGAGAAATATTTGTCTGAGTTTAATTAAGATATCTTTGTTAAAGAAAATAAATACCTTCCCCACTCTGTCTTCTCCTCCTCTAGACTGTAAATCAATCAGCCTCTGCTATCTGCAGCACTCCAAAGCGTACCAAAGGCTGCATAACCTACACTGGCTGACGTGTCTATACTGCTTCAGTGCCTTTTATATTGGTAGATGGGTCAAACACCCCTCACTCCTGCAGATTCTGATAGTAAGGTGTTAACTGACAAATACCAGGGAGGGCTTATCCTGAGAAAATAATTCTGATTTGAATTCAGATTCTAAAGCATCAATATTTAAGGAAAACAGATCATTAGTGAAGCTGGCAGTTTCTGAAAGATTACAGCAAATGCTGAGGATGAGGTGGTGATGGAGATGGTTTAAAGTGAGTTCCAGGAACTGATTTAGCTTTCTCAAATAGGAACACATTTGCATTTCTGTACCTTCTGAAGACCTCCAATTGACTTTTATTCTATTTTTATTTTCTGTTCTAAACTCCAGCAGAACAGCTTTCGACATGGGATGAAAATAGACACGAACCACTTTTAGAGAGGCTGATGAAAGTCATTTGCCTTGTAGAGACTGCATCAGCACCAACACAGCTATACGTGCGCACACAATAAAGACACTCCACTCAGTAGGCAAGCTCATAGAAGCAGTCTCATTAGGTTACTAACTCCTTCAGCTGTCTCCACAAAACCCTGACGAGGCCCTGAGCCAAGGAGGGCAGGTGTGGAGTACAGGCAGCCGCTAAAGCGAAGCTGGAGACATAAATTTTCCAAAAGCCGGCCTTCCTCCCTGCCCAGCTCTACTGACAGCAGAAGCACTCTTTTCTCACCAAGGGGCAGCCGAGGAAAATATTTCAAAGCACCACGAGGATCTGAGATCGATTTTTACAGCAACAAAGTCCTGCGCCTGCTGTGCATCCATGCTTGTTTTTGGAAAGGGTTCTTTTAAAAAAAAACTTCCCTTAACGTATTTCTTGTGGCTGATCAGTAGGGCAACTGAATCTCCAAGGCAACTTTCAAGGTACCAACATAAAAGAAAAAGGTTTAATTTGAAGTTTAACCTTTCAAGGGAGGGACCTTTGATAGGGAGCATAACAAATTAGAGACCACGGTGCTTTTTGACCGCTGTGCAGCAGCTCTGTTAGTCTGTCTGGCAGCACACAGGGAGACAGGAAAGTACTTCATGCCTTAGTTACACATGAACTTATGATTAATGCATTAGAGAACCATTTGGGACCATTCATAGCTGTAGTTTCGTGTGCTTTGCAAAAAAAATCTATACTGCCAGGATCTGACAGCCTGCCAGGGGGAGCCAGATGCGGATTATTGCACTTTTCATTTTCTTTCCCTCGATCTCAAGCGACTGTTTGGACGGGTAATAACTGCTTCGTGCTGACTTTGCTAGCATTGCAAAGAATAAAACAAAAGATTGAATTCACAGGGAGAGAGTTCAGGATTTTCACAAAATAACTGCATATTCCTACATTTAAGTCTCCACCAGAAGGCAGCATTGTGGGGATGCTGTCCACATGCTACATCTATCTCTAGATCTCTACATGGAGTGAATTTCTACCGATTATCTGCACTCTTCCTTTCCAGCAGCAGTCTGTGCCCCCTCCTCCACCAATCAGCCTCATTTACCTCCCTCTCCCTGCCCATTAACCCTTCCTCCTGACGCCCTGTGAGTACATACAGGGCTTTCTGGTGAGCCACGGCTCTGCTTTGAATTCTGTTTGCAGGGAGCACATCAGTCCAGATTGCAGTGGTGGGTTTGAGAAAAATAAGACTTACACAGGTAGCAGTCTAGAGAGCAGTGCTTAGGGGGTCTGCACACTGCACAGGGAGCTCTGCAGGTTTGAATCCCAAGTGGGACTCTGCTCTTGTACCCTTAAACAAGTTACATCACCTATATTGCTCCAGTAAATGCCATGCTGTTTAATGGGTCTATAGGTTGACCCTGCAATTGATAGTGTTAATAGTGTTTTTCAGGTGAAAATAGGTATAATTACACAAGGTAAGACCAGGTGCTGAATATTCAAAACTTTTCATCTTTAGGATTTGGATTTGGATTTAAAATAAAAAACTGATTTAAACATTTACTTTTCCAGTTCTGCCGCAGCCCGGGAAGAGGAAGATGTATGGTGGAGAGGCACTGGGCTGGGCCAGGACAGATGGCCTGGACCTCTGGCAGATCTAATTTGCTAATGGCCCTGCCGCTGCTGAAATGGGCTCCACTCAATCATGCCGGCTGGGTCTCCGCTCTGCGGGACGTGCTTCGGCCCCGCTCCAGCACGCTCATGCATTCCACACGGGTCGGGACCGAGAGTGGGCTCTACCGGAGGGTGGGGAGGGACCCGCAGGAGAGCTCGGGAAACAGAAGTACTCCTTCCTGTTTGCCGCCAAGCAGAGACTAATTGCTTTTCTTTGGCGCTTCACACAGCAACACCTTTTGGGGATTCAACTGAAAGACTGCAACCCCATTATCATCTATCAAGCTGACAACTTACAGTGCTGTTTTTTTTTTAAACTGAAAAATACACTTTAATGGATCACACGCATCATTAACTTAAATAATAAAGCACGTTCTTGGTTTTTAACTCTTCGGCACCCTGTTCTAGTGAGCAGCTAAGTGTGTTTTCTTATTTGGTGTATTATTTTCGAGAATGGGTCTGGTTAGATTCATTTCATTTTGGTCAGCGGTCTTTACACATGCTTCTGTGTTTGCGCATCTGTGATTGTGTGACAGATGTAAGGTATGAGTCGCTTTGCATTTGCCACACAGTAGAAATCCAGGTTTAATCGGTAGTTCCACTTCACTCACCCTCTCTCAGTCTCCACAGGGAGCTCCAGCACTATGTCCACCTCAGGCTCCTGCCTCAGCACAGGCCTGGTCACTCTGATGGGTCGGGGGCTGACCGGCCTGTTGTTAACAGGACTCCTGACAGTGCCTGAACAAAGAGGGGCTGTAAGTTTATCGTGCAGCACTGCTGCCATCTGCTGGACAGTCACAGCAACAACATCAGTGCTCTATATTTTGGTAACTCTTATCTGGATTCTTTGGGAGGTTTTGCCTGCATTTACTTCAGTCCTGCAGCAAACTTCATGTCAAATAATGTGCTTTTTAACAACCAAATAAAACATTCAGTGCTTCCAAGTGTTATACTTCATGGAATGAAACCAAAATAAGCATTAAAAGCTATGTGAGCTGAACAACCATGTAGCCAGATACAAGCTGGAAAAGTTCAAGATGTGGTCATTTAAATAGCTACTTTTAACACCTTACAATAAACCCAGCCTGTTCGTGTTAAAAGGTTGAGGTGCTTTAAAGAAACCTTGAAACTATTTTTATGAAAAGATAGAATTGATTGTATAACCATTTCATCAATTTTACTACAACCCAGAGGTGACTACATGTGTATAAATACGCAATCATCGAAGCAGAGGAGATGCAATTTTGGCCACTCCATTATCTTGACTTCAAAGACCCCGCGTGGTCATCTGGCACGTCCACTAACCTGCCCTGTCTTCTTCAGCCCAGAACCTGGCATCGGAGTACGCAATGTGAGCGCAGCGCTGACGCACTGCTTCATGGTCTTTCTGAAGAGAACCACAGAATGTGATAAATCAGCTTCCAGCTGTACAGTACTCATCCTCATTAATGTGATGAAGGGTGGTTTAATCAGTGCAGTGGTTGACTGCAGTACCCTCCACTCTGTGGGGGGGCACAGTGGCTCTGCCTACAGCCATACCACTTCCTGTGTCTGATCTGCAGGTACTGTAGGCAGAGCTTGGATTGAGTTACTCCAAGCCTGAAGTCTTTCCATGCTTTCTTGCTACATTTCTTCTGCTTGAGATCAAAGAAAAAGAATAAGAACCCTTTGCTTGTTTGGCTTTTAAATTTTTCTAGGAAACTGCACGATCTCACACCTTGACTGTGAAAATCTGTAGCTGAATTAAACAAGAGTCAGAAACCGCAAACATGCCCACTGTGAATTCTGAAGTGCTGCCTAAAGAAAACAGAAAACATGTTATTTGAAAGCGAGGATGGAGGTGTCTCGCAACCCATAGTTTCTTTTGGCATTGAGTCATCAACTGAAATCTTAACGTTTGGTCTGGAGATGTTTCTGAAGGAAAGCATGGCACTCTAGCGCCTGTCCAGGTGAGCCCTAATCCTTAAAGTTGTATATGCTTCATCAACAACATTTGACAAATTAAAGATGATGACTGATTCAGTTAATGGACGACCTAATTGGAATGAAAACCACAAATTCCAGTATCTCAGCAGGATGGAGGACGGAAATTTGCAGTAGGAAAACCAGAGGACCTGCAGGCCCTTCATT